GGAGAAAAGAATATACTGGATTTATATTCGGAGCACATTTTTCTCATTTATTGGAAAAACCAATAAGAATATTGGAAGGGCAGTTGTTCATTTAACTTCCAAGTATGGAAGCAGGGTCCTATGCTGTACATTCCAGCAGAGGAAGTTCATTTTAGATGTAAATGTATAATATTTCAAAGCACTAAAATAAATGGACAAACCATTGAACCTCTTATTATATTGCTCCTATACAGATCTGAATGTTGAATATGCCGTTTTCACAATGACCCAATGAGAGTCTTATTTTGGACTCTAACCAGGACACCATGTGAGTTGGGAAAATGCAGAGACATGCCTAACCGTTGATTTCTTTGTTTTTCTCTGCAGATTGTTAATGTGTTCCTGGATTTGTACCAGTCAACATCTTTCTGATCCTATTCATTCTTCTCCTGGTGTGCTCTAAAAATTGGAGCGACTCCTCAACGATTAACCTTAACTGCCCTCTGCCTCATAACAACATTACACTCAGTACCCGCCATTGGTTCAATCACAATCAAAGTAGTGCCAAAAGGTTTTCTGTCATTTCTGATCATAGAGATGGACATGCCCTTCAGCCTCTACCACACTTTACTGCCGACGGGAGCCAATGATGTACCTTCTGTCTTCGACAACGTAAAACCTTTTAAAAGAGTTGTTACATAGTACAAAGATAGAATAAAATATAAAGCAGACCTAACAAAAATAAAGCTATCTATATATATATAAACATATAAATACTTTTATAAAAGTGCCTCATTTTTGATTGTAGCCATTTTTACACTGGTCTCAATGTATTCTGTAATGGTTAAATACTTTTTTAAATGATCTTTTTGTTGCTTTGCATTTGCTATGCTGAACAAGGTAGAAAGACGATGTTTATCTAAATGTAAGTAGACAGAAGAGGCAGATTTAGTGCTATGGTTTGTGTAGTATCATTGCCTTACTCTATTTTGTGTGGGTGTGTATTCAGTCATCAGCCGTGAAACACAGGCACATGCTCTATACAGTAGGATGAAATCCATTCATATACTCTCACTCTTTGAGAATAATTATCATTCACACCATATCTGAGTTGGTGTTCGATTCCCTTAATCAAAGTCTTTCCCTCTAGGTCTGTTTGGTCGGTCACACACATTTACAGTACGATAAAACGTCAAATAAAACTGTGCCTCTCAAATTTTCACAAAGTATCTCTGTCAGAGAGTTGCCATCAGATTTCTCCATCTGATCATTTTACTCCTGATTTACTAACTCTGTAAAGGTGATTGTGATTCAACATTTGATGCTTTTATTCAGCAATGCAATTTCAAGCTTGTGGTTCTAGGGAAACAGGGTTTTTAATGGACGGTGGTGCCTGTATTTACTAAAATGTAGTGTGATATTTTTAAAAATGTATCTATTTTAAACACCAGTTTAAAATGGTGACCTTCATTTTGACGGTTGAGGCTATTTTCTACTTAATCCGATGTTTGTTTTACGTTGAGTAAAAATGTCCTGTTTAATGCCAAAATCTTCACTCACACACTATCAATCACGCAGTGAGGTGGATCTCATAAAACATAGTTTTAATTCAGAGGAGTTTAGCAATCGATACTTTTCTCATTTGAATATTTTACTTTTTTGTTCATGAATAGTTGCTACAACAGCTGCCTTCTGTCACTATGAATCAACATGAAGCCTTATAGTGCTTATATGAATGCCTTTTCTGTTCATTTCCAGTTTCCTTATATTGAAAGCATTTACCGGTTCCATCAGACATGCAACGTTCAATGCAATGTTACATTCGCTTGCAGTATACTCATCCACTTATGCAGTGATTGTCAGTGATTCCAAATGACATGCATACCTCTCTCTGAAATGTTCGTATTGTCATTAAAACAACATAAAAACAACAGGTGGGGAGAATTATATCCCCTTTTAATCTTTTAACTTATCCTGAGAAGGACATATGCCTTTCTAAATCCACCTCATGTTCAGACTCAACACTACAAAAGCATCAAATTATTTGTTTTTGTCTGTTTCTGTCTGTCCAGTTAAATCGGAAAAGGTTTTTTACTACTTTGTGTCTTTACTTAATTTTATTTTAACTGCCTTATTGTCTTGCTCTTTGGTACATGGCAGCTGTAAAAAATGCTTTTATTATTGCAAAGTGAGGGGTTCTGTTTGAATATGTTACATCATAGCAGTGGGATTGCTTTACCACTTGATTTACAGACCATTAAAACTCAACGGTTTGCTTTGTAAATCCCCTGATTTGTTTTTCAGAAAACATGGATTACCTAAGTCAATTAGAAAAACAGCCATGGTCATGTAATGTAGGGAAGGACTATCTTTATATTGAAGTCCAACTCCCCCCCTAAAAAAATACTTGTAAAAATGCTTTATTGATTTTAAACACCTGTTCTTTTTTGGGAGAAAAGGCTCTGAAATGCACAATCAGGGGTCTTTGTAAAGTTTCAAAGCTGATGATTCCTTATGTATATCTAATGCTTTGAATCAATTTATGACAATTGTGTATAAAGGGGTTTTAATACAATAATTATTATGATGATGTGGGTTATTGTATATTTCTGTGAATAAGGGAAACTACAGGGCTTGGGTGGGCATGGGAGGCTGTATGGTCTGGATATAGTAAACATATCTGTTGAATTCAATAATTCCTTAATGAATATTGCCTGTGATTAAGAAAATGTCATCCCAGTTTATGGAAAAGAGGATGAAAAAAAGAATGGGGAACTAAAATGTGTCTTGTGTCTTTTTTTATGATTCCAATATATGTTGGTACGTTGTCATTTTTAGACAATGAGTGCAGAAAGCTTGTAAAAATTGTGTTTATGCCAAAGCCTGCTTTTGAAACAAAATTATCTGACAAGTAGCCTATATTAGTTTGATTGGATGCCTACAAGGACATCTTCATGTCGGTAATGTCCTCATAAAACATGAAAACTCGTGTGTGCTCGTGTGTGGCGTACAGTAATGAAGTCTAGACAGACCCCCGCCTCTGAGGTACTTTGCGAGGATAATAAGCCACCTGCCAGGGGCTTGATCTTAATGCGGAGGAGAAGGGCTCGCGTAACGATTGTCTCACTTCAGCGTGGTCCCCATCTTTGAGTCTGCGGCGGCCATCATTACTCCGTGAATTAAAAAAACACGAGCGTCTGGGTTTACACCTTCCTTCACACACACATTCGTTCAAGCTCAGGTCTGGTTGTATGAAAGGCACAGTCTCTGATGACCCCGTGTGGTTAACAAACGGCAGAACAACAACACTAGATCAAATTAGAATGTGAAAGACAAAACTAATGTCTTATAAATCTTCGCACAAAATGTCTTTCTAATAAACCGCACCTTACTTTTTACAATGCTTGTGTTTGCTTGCATTATTTTACATGTTTTTTTTTCTTCTTCTTTTTCTGTATTTTATGCACTCACACTTTCTTGGGTATACCTTCTAGAGCTGGGTTAGTCCCCCTTTGCCTTCTGAATCCTTTGTGGCATAGATTCAACAAAGTACTGGAAACATTCCTCAGAGAGTTTGGTCCATATTGACACAATGGCATCAGGCAGTTTCTGCAGATTTGTTGGCAGCACATCCATCTTCCGTTCCACTACATCCCAAAGGTGTTCTATTATATTGAGATCTGGGGACTAGAGGGCATTTGATAACAGTGAAGCTGTCATAGCTACTATGTTCAAGAAACCATGATGATTTGTGCTTTATGACATGGCACATTATCTTGCTGGAAGTAGCCAAAGCTACTTTGGGGATCTGACCCAAGTGCTTTACAGTAAAAATCCAAATTAAAACATGGTAAGGATTTAAAACATATCTAATACATAAAGTAATAACAGTAGCATAATAGTAATAACATTAAACTCATAAATACAGTATAGACTATAAAAGCATGCAGACACAATGGTGCATCAAACGCAGCCAAATACCAGATAACAGGGATGCATTTTTAGCTTTCATTTAAAACCAGAAAGGGATATCAGAAAAAGGCTATTGAACATCAGAGCATTCCAGATGTTCAGACTTGCAACTGCAAGAACTTCTGAAAGGTAGGAAGGAGCTAGACTGCATTTTAATAACAGCATTTTAAAGTAGACTCGAAAATGAACCGCTAAAATCGAAGTAATGTATTCTCTTTTTTTTTTTGTGCCGGTGAGCAAACGAGGAAGCAGCATTCTGGGAAAGCTGAAAATGAGCTAAAACTGTGTCAGACACCAATGTAAATCGAGTTAGAGTTAGCCAAATGTAAAGTGACAAAAATAAAAACTCAAACTAGTCTGGCCATTCTTTTCTGGCACTGGATATTTTCTCTTTTTTCAGATCATTCTCTGTAAACCTCTGAAAATATTAGTTGATCAGCAGTTTCTGAAATAATCAGAACAGCCGTCTGGCAGCAACAGCCAAGCCACGTTCAGTCACTTAAATCACCTTTCTCTCCAAAATTGTAACATTTTTGTATCATGCTATATTATGCTGTTATTTAATGTTACACCCCTAGTTGCTGTAAAAGGCTGTTTATAAGTTTTCACTGTTCGATGTGACCCCAACT